TAGAAAAAGAGGAAAAAAGAGGCTCAGCGTTCTTGGAAAAAAAGAGGCATACAGTTTCGTCCGAAGAAAACTAAAATCCATTGGCACAATAGTACTATAAATCCGACAAAACTCGTACATTATCAATATAGGTTGAATATGACTTGAAAGAGTAAAAAAGAAACGAAACTTCCAATTGTTCATAGAAGTTTTTGTGCAATTGCTTATGTATGCATTAGAAAACGGGAAAACATTAGAAAAATAGTCTATTCTATTTACGTAGCATCTGACTAAGTAGGCACACAGAAATAGAAACGATCAGAATACATTAAATGCTTTTTTTTTGCTTTTTTTTGCTTTTTTCGGATGACTGTGCATGTGAGAAAGTTTTTTTTTTGGTTTTTTTCAATTTTCAGCAATTCTTTCATGATTTTGATCATTTTTCGTAAGTCAGTTTCACTTTTCCGTTTCCCAGCGTAAATTAATACATTGGTTGCAATGGTGCTCAGACAGCGAATTTGTGAGGAATCGTTTGACCACCTGTTATTGAAAACACTTGATTTTTCCCAGTGAAATATGGTCATCTTCCTGCGTTCTGTAGAAAACGACTTATTGGTATTGGGTAGATTGTATGATCCCCTACTTTTTGATCAGTGGGGCGTCCCCGTGTGTTTCTATTGCATTCTATCATATCCGATTTCTTCCAAGTGTCTTCAAACCGTTGTCAATGTTAACCCATGTAAAGCAAACACGCTTGTAATCGGAGAAATACGGCGTTTCACATCGCCCAGTATTGCAATCGTATAACTCTGTGATCGTATGCGCAGAAATACGATCGTTTATGGACGAACAAAGCTTGTCAACGGCTTTCGTTTTACTCTGTATTACTTCGTGAACGATTATATGTCTCCGTGTAGGGTTTAGAGACATACGATCCTTCAAAATGTGATTGTATACGGAGAAACTCGGAGGGAGAGGGATTACTTCATTTTGACAGTAAATTAATCACGTAAGGTAATCTAGCAACATACCACGGGATCTGTAATGAACGCAGCAATTTTGAAGGATCAGATATTGCCGGATACAACATGAAAACTTTTATCGGTATCTGATAAGCAGAAATCTTCAACCTATGACATCATACTATCGGAAGCTATCTTGCCGAAGAAATTTCATCGAATCTGACAGGATTCTAGGATAGGTCTAGCCACTCTGGAAACTTCTTCTCATTTTGACGCATGCGTTACGCTATGAGTTAGTTATCCATTATTAAATTTACATCACAAGTTTCTCTGGTGCCAAGAAAAATGGTCAAGAAAAGTAAGCTCAAGATTATCATTTTATATGCCGATCTTAACCAGAAAAACTTGTCAAGACTGTGAGCGAATGATGAGTTCATATTAGAAATATAATTGAGTGATTTTTCCCCCATTAGAGAGCTATAAAACTTGGGTCCCAATTAGGGATATATAATATCGCTGAAGTTGATCACTAAAATCATATAATTTAGCCTCCTTAGCTATACACCTCGACTGATGGGCACATCAGTTTGTGTTATGTGATCTTTTTGTATGATATGGTAACAATAATCAATATATTCATGGATATTTTCCCCAACAACCTACTTTTTCGTGAGAAAAGAGAAAAACGAGAACGTTTCTGAAAAAAGAAGCTAAAAAGAGGAATTTTAAAAGAAAAGAGGAAAAGGAGGGAAAAGAGGCGGAGTGGGATGCCAGAGTAAGATTTCATCTGTTCACTTGAGGTAATTGCGATCATCTCGAACGGGCAGTGGTTTTTTTTGTTATATTTCATCCGTAGTATTGTAATTTTTGAAAATTTTTTCATCAGTCTACCTACTGTTGCTTTATTCAAATATAAGTTATAAATAAATTTCTGATTTCTGACAAGATTCAGAAATTTAGGATGATTAAATTTCTAATTTCTTGATGATTCTGAAAGATTTCGTCTGCAGAAAAAAAGGCACAAATTAGCGATTAGAAATTTACTAAAAACTAATGTCTACGCTAGAATTAAAGATGGCTGAGTGTAAGCTCAATAACTCAATAACAAGAACAGTTAGCAATCTGTGGTTTTCAGGAATTCAAAGAGGAGAATGCTGGACGTCTTTTTCTTTCATATTATATAAGAGAAGGTTTTCTTAAATCCTTGGTTTTTACTAAACATTAAAAAACCATGCACGAGAATGGTGTTTTGTTCCGATTTAATTTTGATTTTGACATGTTCTTTAGATAGAGGGACTCAGATGTACACTTCAAGACACAGTTCACGTGATTATCTTCTTATATCTGAATGTTGGGCAAACAAAATTGCATATCTATTCAGTCAAATTGTATAGAATTCTGTTAATTTTTAGCAAATTTTCTGACTTTTTATCAAAGTTTCGTTGAAATGAAATACCGTTTTCATTCCTTTTTGTAAATATTTTGCAAAGATGATAGATTTTAAAATAATTATACTTTATGGAGTATTAGACAAAAAGACGTCTGGGGTTCTCCTCTTTCGATAGCTGATAATTGTAGATCGCTAACTGTTGCCGTTGTCAAGTTATACAGATTACACTCATCTCTCTATAATTCTCGCGCGAACATTAGTTACAATTTGAAATTCATCACGTCTTTGCCTGGACAAGCATGAGAAGAGATAGTAAAGAATGTATAGTGTCTAGATACTTGTTTTATTTATTTTCGTGTTTTTCATGTGTATTTTCACAAAACTTAATAAAACTAGAATAGTTTTCAGAGCAGCAGTACCTTCGACTGTGATAATAGTATTACCCATGTTGCAAATGCCGGACTAGCTTTAGCAGTAAACCGTGGCTAATCAGCGATTTCACTGAAAATCGAGTTAATATGAGAAATCGATGATTAACTGTGATTAATCGTTTACAATGACCAGTCAGTGACACATCCGAACAAAAAAAGTAATCGGTAAGCTGCGAAGACTACCATTTTCTCATTTTTCATAGACTGAAAATATCTAATAACTTACGAGGGAGGTACCTGAAGTATCCCCTCGATTTCGAGCTCATATTTTGCTCACAAGTAGACGTTAATGTCAATAGCCAAAGCCTACAAGGATTCGTGCCTATGGGCTGTTAAAGCCGACTTACGATCATTCCACTGGATTTTCGATTTCAAGCAAGGCATTCATGGAAAAATAAAACAACGGTATTTTTACCTGAAATTTTGTCCATGAATAGACCTCATTATCACTAGAATGTCCTAAAAACTTCGGTCAAAACGGATGCTTTATCGTTAAGATATTGAATAGTTAAAAAGTGATCATATGCCACAGAAAAGTCAGAAAATTGAATAGTTTTGAAAACTCAATATCTCAAGGATAAAGCATTTGTTTTGGCTGAAATTTTTAGAACATTCTAATAATCATGAGGTCTCTTCATGGACAAAATTTCAGGTTAAAATACCGCCGTTTTACTTTTTCCATGAATGCCTTGCTTGAAATCGAAAATCCAGTGAAATGGTCATAAGTAGGCTTCAACAGCCCATGGGCGCGAATCTTTGTAGGTTTTGGTTATTGACATTAAGGTCTACTTGTGAGCAAAATATGAGCTCGAAATCGAGGGGACACTTCAGGTACTTTCCTCGTTAGTTCAATATATAAGTCATATTTGTGCTCATTCAATAGCGAAACGAGCAGAAAAACTAAAACGAAAATAGATGTCACTGCAAAAATATAGTTTTAGAGATTGTTATTTACATAGTTCTCGGATGAGGTCTAAGACAATGAAAGTTTGATAGCCAAGAATGTATTCATCTTCAATGTATTTTGCATTCTGAATGAGTAGAAGCAGAAGCTAGTTGCAGAAGAACTGATTTGGCAGTTATGACCAATGAAAAATCAGAAAGAAACTCTAAATTGGATCTAGTTCAAGAGATATTTTCATGTTGTGCTGATATTTCAGATGGATTCTGCATGCCTACAAAATCTTACGTACGTCGAACTGTGAAACAATGTGGAAATCATACAAATTTCTGAGAAAATCGCAGTTTCTCTAAGTTCGGTATCAGGCAAAAGTGATTGTTTACGTCCGAAAAAATTACAGGTAAATCATAGTTAATCGGAAAATACTGGCGGTTTTCATTGCATGTGTAATTCTATAAAGTCATGCATTCGTCATAATTATTTTTCGGTTGGTTCTGTTTCCTTCAATCATAATGCTCTTCAACAGTTCTACTATTTACCATCATCCATTTTTGTTTTTAATTTCTATAGAGCAGATCACGATTACTCATTTTACTCTCACACTTCCTTTTCAAGAAAGATCTATTCTAGAAAAAAAATTTCAGATTTTTCTTAAATTTGATTAATAGAAAAGGTCGTTCCGTATATGATTAGCTTTATACAGATTTAAAATCTTGTAACAAGTTTTTTTATTTTTAATAAAATTAGTGTTTTGTTTCTGTTTTATATACTTGATGAATTAATTGTTGTACAATCATTTTTTTTAAATTAAATTTTCACATAGAGGTCATTCACACTTAATGACGTCAAAAAAATGTGACTTCTGTTTGGACATCCATTTCGGACGATACCTTAAGTCAATATTATACTTTTTTAGTAGAAGTACAAGATAAGATATTATTAGTGATGTGAAATATAGGTATAAACACTGAAATATCGACTACAACGACATAGGCGTTCGCTGAGACACTGAACCAATGACCCTGCCAAAGTATGCATTTTTTTTATGCTTTAAACAATAATCTGCAACGAAAAAGCAGTTAAATAAGCGTATTTCCTCGTTCAAAAAATATCCTAAATTTGAGTAATCGATATGGAAATATGTATCAGTGTCATCAGTGTCAATGTATTCACGATTGTAGCAAAACGCTGATACCGGAGTAGATAGCTCGTCACTTTAAGCCAGTATCGGTGATGCCTATGATCAAGTGAGCTGAAATTGTACATGCTTAGATATGATTCATATACATGGATGGAAAGAGTTTAGTTCAAACGTTTTCAGATTAATTAATGAACAAATGTCAACACCACTTTATGATCAGATGAACGGTATAAATGATTAAAAAAATGTATTCATTTTTTCATTAATATCTTATTTAGATGAAACCAACAACTTCGATGTACCACAACTCAGTGCTGAGTTTCTAGGTAAGTTTGATTAAAATATATACAATAAAACCAGTTATTTACTCTATAGACGAGATACTTCAGAAATTCGATCCAAATGCCGGTCTATATAAATATATGATTTTTAATTTTTTTCTTAATAACACTTGTAATATGTTCTTTCTTTCAGAGATTTCAAATGATCTAGATCTTTTGTCAGTGCTGTCTGGTAGCAGTAAGCAATACTTGAAGATTATCTCTCAAAATAGGTATGTATTCTAGATAATGGAGCTTCGTCTGATTTCTCACCAGAATTAAATTTGAATTCCTGTAATGAAGACCAAGTTGATGGTATGTATAAATCGGTCACTATTAAAATCTATTTGTATTATTTTTTCAATTATTTCAGAGATCACTGCTTTTCTATCAGGTATACCGCCTCGTTCTAATAGTTTGGAAATTATTGCACAGCCATGCTATACTTCAAAATTGCGAACTCTTCAAGATAATCTAAAAGAAAAGCGACGACATACTCTCAAAGCAAAAAATAAAAATTCTCCTTTTACAGGTCCAACAATTCGTGTAAGCTAATTTTATTAATTTTTCATCTTCTGTTATCTTTAAAAGCCTATTTTTTTTAAAGATTCCAAAATGTTACTTTAATGTTGATGAACAATATTATATTGGTATTTTTCTTGTGACAGTTTTCCATGAAAAATCAAATTGTCGCTATATACATCCATACGGATTGAAAGATGTTGATCATGAAGATCGAAATGATCAACAGAATAATGCTGTTTGGTTTCCGATCGGAGATGAAGATTCGGATGATATTAAAAGGTACTAAAAGGATTTTAACGAAAGTCTTTCATGTCTTATTTTTTTGTAATTTTTCAGTTTTCCAGGTTTACATATTGATAAAAAAACTGGACAGGAGGTGAAAGACTATGGTACTTTACACCCATTTGATGACGAATGTTAGTATATAAATACATCATTGAATTATTTATGATTTAAAATTATAAAATTTAGATAGAAATTCATTAAATAATTTTGTTCCAGAGTTAACTTCTGGAAAAAAAATAGTTCACGAATATAATCTTAAAAAAACTCAATTAGCATTTACTATTGGTAGGAAAATAAATATAAACGACAGATTTCCGAGAATTCTTGATTCTCACTTAACGATCTATTCGGATGAAATGATGGAAGATACTGAGAAAGAAACAGTTGAAGATACTAAATCTACTGAATCAGTCGCACAGTCGAATTCACCACCACCTGATTGTCGTATGTACAAATATGCACCACGATCCGGTTATACAGCAGGCAATGAAGAGGTGCTTATTTTTTATACGAAGAAACTTGAAAACAAATATGGAAGTAATAATAATATTTGTTTGAATTAATTTTTCATCATCTTCCTTTTTCAAAGACTTACTAGTTACGTTTGAATATGACACACCTAATATTAATGAGCAAACATCATTTCCTGCTATTGACATCGAAGTTAAAGGTCAAATGGTATCGTTTAAAACACCAATCTTTCCATATTCGATCAATGAGCCTACACCTGTCAAAATCATATTACAACAAAAGGACAGAATGTTAGAAACATTACGATACTTTTATGTCCCAAAGTGTAAATAAAAACATTATTTTTTTTTTAACAATTAAATTATTTCCTAATTTTTTTTATTTAAGCACAATGTTCAACATGTCAAGCGAACATGATGAAAAATCCAGAGCCATTTATACGGAATACTTCAAATAAACGCACAAAATCTAGTCTGTGCCAACTTGATGATGTAAATGATGCTGTTGTACCCGTTTGCGAAAGTAAAACTGAATTGCGACAAGCAAAATCAGAACTGGTAAGTTAAATCACATAGCTTTTGCATAAAATATTTATTTATAATAATTTTAGGAGTCACATTCAACTCTCAGTTTATCGAAGTCAGGTGTGTAAGATTTCATAGATTATATCATTCTTGATATCAAAACATTCCACGATATTGTGTGCAGAATAATCTTAATTAGAGAAAAACTTAACGGATTTTTTTCGTTTCCAATTATACTTGACGAGAGTAAACTTCCGACAGTGCCAGAGATTGTTACTAAGTGCTTGAATTGTTTTCTTTGTTCTCCCGAAAGTATATTAGGAATTATTCTGTTACTTCCAATTTACTCTTCAGCATCTATTGTCTGTTTTATTGAATTTGATTAATTGAATTATAATATTTCAGTTTCTCAGTCTTCAATCAATACTAATCAAACAGATTATAATCAACAGCTTTTGGATAAACTTTCAGGTTATATTGCAACATTATTTACTGATAACGATTATAAACCAATCTTACGCTTCTGTCGACCATTTATTCAAAAGCGTCCTGAATTACTTCATATTGCTATTAAGAATAATCATTCTGATCTTCTATCAAAATTTATTCCTATTGCTAAGATTAATATACTTCAACAAAAGAATGAATTTGGTGAAACAGTATTATTACACGCTACACGTCTCAATTGTATCGATATTGTCAAAGCGTTATTAGAAAAAGAAGACTCGGATAAGCTTCTCGAAGATATCAATAGTAGAGGACAGAATGTTTTTCATATTCTCGCAATGAATATAAATTCAGAAGAAATATTCGATTTATTAATTGAACATCTTATAAAAAACTCAATCAATATATCAGAGAAATTTGATCATGTCGATGATGATAATCATACGCCATTACAATTAGCTATTATCAGCAATAATCTTTCAGTAACACGTCATTTTTTGAAACATTTCAATAAAACTGTGTGCAAAACAAATGATTATACTGGTGATAATCTTATTCATCTTGCCGTACGTTATAGTAATTTAACAATGCTCAAATTGTTACTCGATGATGAAAAACTAATTGTACAAGGAGTTCAATCAAATTTAACGAGGACACCACTTGAATTGGCTCGATTGATGAAACATAATGATATGGTAGAATATTTCAATGAAATCTACTCTCAACCAGAAGTTGATGAAAACGATAGTTCAGAAGATGATTGAATAGTCAACATTTCATAATTGAAATTCGTTGAGTTTTACAATTATCTATCTACAACTTCTAAAACTTAAAGTTTTTTCTTTAAATATCAGAATATTGACTTATCGAATAAAGCAGTCTGTTATGACTATGTAATAGAAACAGAAGAATTCGTTTGCAGATTTAAATTTACAGCATTTTTTTCTTAAATTTTGATCTACAAATAAATTGCTTCTTTGTCAATAAAAAACATTATATGTATTTTTTAATATAGTTATTTTCTTTGTTGATCTTATTGTTATTGAAGAAATGATTTCTATGCGTTGTATAATCTACAGATCTTTTTTTTTTCATTTTTATATCGTTTCATATTATTCTTGAAGTTAAAGCATGAAATAATTATCACATAATTATAAATGCAGAATAAAAGGTGCTGTACATGTATGTTCAAAGATGAAGCAAAGAGTTTTTTTCTAAGATATGACGTGGATTTTTGATCGTAGACAATGTCACACAAATATAATTTACTTTTTCTTGAAGCGTCGACTTTCTAAATGCGTAACTCTACTGATAGAGTCTATTACACAACTCTAACCATATTTGAATATTCTCAGGTCAACAAATACGAACCGTTTCCAGCCGGAGAACTCGGAAAAATGGTAGGAACTTGGAAGCAATAATTCACTGATCGTGTCCGGTTGCTAGCTCTGTTTCGTTACGGTCAGTTCTAGTAAAAACTGAATAAATCCAGTCACTGAATACAATCACCGATTCCTGATTCTAAATTCCTACCGTTTTTCACAGTTTTCCGACCGGAATTGGCCGTATCTCATTCACCTGAGGTTGATCGAATCCGACGGTCGGCTCTGTCAGATTACAGTCAGAACTAAAAAAATCCAGTCAACGAATCCAATTGCTGTATGCCTGCTTCCAAGTTTTACGATTTTCCCCAGTTTTTCTGTGGAAATCTGTCGGATGCGTACGGATCCAGACGCTGGAGTCATTGATCTCAGTTAATAACGACAAACTAAAACCATTGTTCGAATTGACTATATGGCAAAGTGTCTGTGGTGCATGACTTGCTTGAACGAGAGTGTAGCTGAAAATATCATAAAATAAATATTGATCAAAAGCATTCTCTAAAATCCATCTTATCCTTTTCAAAAACTGCTAACAAGTCTTTCCGTAGACCTACAGATGTAATAAAATATAAAACTAAAACTAAAACTAAAAACAAAAATATATTTATATATCAAAAATGTTGTGGTTAGCGTCAGTAATGATATACTCCAACGCTAAATGAGCATTCAGATGTTTTCTCCAGTCTAATTGGCTTAGGACATCTGCCTGGATAGCAGAAAGTATGTGGTTTGAATCCCACGAAGGACGTCTTTTTCTTCATTCTGTTACATAATATCAGTGACACTGCTTAGTCTATAAGCTCTATATACATTACAACTAACAGCTATTTTATTAATGAGTTCCATTGTAAAAACAGCAATGATCAGATACCAATTCAGACTCTGCTTACTTTGCATATTTACACTCTTGATTCTCTTTAAAATTCTATTATCATTAATGGTACTGTACATATTTGATCATTGTACTCTTACTTCATATGAAATTTTATTATTTTCGGCAGCAGTTAACAACGTTGTTTGCCATTAATAATTATAAAACTTACATTAACTCTTTCTCTGGCCTTAGTCCATCAAAAAACAAGCAGTCTTATAAATATAATCTAAATGTGGAAGACAAAAATATTTTTTTCCCATTATGCAATTACCAAGTAATAGATAGGAAGAAGCAGAACAAAAGAAAAAAGACCAGAATGAGAATTTTGGGTATTTTTGCCCAGACTTGATTCAGCTAGTGTATTTAAAGCTTGCCTTGGTTTCCCACTATTTCAAAATAATTCGTACAAAACACGAATAAAATCTTTATCTTACATTTCTATTGCCAGACCTCTAACAAATGAAATATATCTGTTTTTTTGTTCAGAATACATATTCGTAAAATTAAATTGAATTGACGATTTCCAATACTTGAGCAAATATTTAATATGAATTTAGACTATACAAATCCATCTACTGGTATGTTCGGACGAATTCGTATTAAAATATCTTCATTTTACTTTTCAGGTGTTTTACCACTCAATTCTATCTCAGCTGAACTTCCACTTTATTCTAAATCACTGGAAATAATCGCACAACCATGCTACACTTCCAAATTACGATATCGTTCCGATTATGAACATAATAAAAATCGTCGTGGAGTTCTTCATAGTACAAATAATTCAAATTATCAAAGTCCGACTATTCGTGTATGTTTACTTTATCATTCTTTTTTTGTTTTTTATTGAAAGTTGGTTTTACTTTCAGATTCCACATGAATATCTTGATATTACCGAACAATATTCCGTTCGTATTTGTCTTGTAACCGTTATAAATGAAAGAACAAACCGTCGTTATATACATCCATACGATCTTGAAGATATTGATAATGAAGATCATAATGATCGGTATCAGAGATCTATTTGGTTTCCCATTCAAGGGGAAGATATTGGTGGAATTAAAAGGTATTAAAAATGAAAAACAAAATATTGATATATTTTGTTTAATCTAGTTTTCCAAATTTACGTGTCGTGAAAAAAAAGGCCGATAATCTGAAAAATCATGGCAATTTCCTTGTTTTTGATTCTCCTAGTAAGTTCTCGAATATATCATAAATGAAAAGAAAAAAAAATTACTTTTTATTAGATGAAGATTCCAGTCCACAATTACCATCTGTAAAAGATACAATTAAAGAATTTAATCTTGAAAAAGCTCAATTAGCGTTTACTATCGGAAAGAAAACAATGGAGAATAACAATGTTACATTTATTGTATTTAATCGAACAACAGTCTTTTCAGAAGAAATGGCTGAAAATATTAGTAGAGAATCAGATCTTGATGATGTGCCTAGTGTGCCGACCATTGTAAGATCTCATCCATTAAGCCCATCTGAATGTCGTATGTACAAATATGCACCGCGAAGTGGTTTTACAGATAGTAATGATGAAATACTTATCTTTTACACAAGTAAACTGAAATTAAAAAAATATGGAGGTCAGATACGAATTCTTTCTTTGTTCATTGATTTGTTACTATTTTTATTTTGATAGAATTACAAGTTATGTTTGAATTTGATGGATCTACCGACCATTGGTCAACATCTGTTCTTGATCTTGACGTTAAAGATCAGATGGTGTCATTTCGAACACCATATTTTCCATTATCCATCAACAGGACTACAACTGTCAATATTATATTAAAACAAGAAAAAAGGGTTTTAGAACCGTTGACATTCAACTATATTCCAAGAGGTGATAAAAGATATTATTTTTATTAATATTATTTTAAATAATTTTGTTTTTACTGTAGCACAATGTCCGACATGTCAAGGCAATCTTATGGGAAATCCAACCTCAATTATACAAAATACTCCAAATAAACGTCATATTTCTGTTCTGTATAGTGATAATGAAGAAACCGATGATGGTAGATCTGTTTGTGAAACTAATCCTGAAATTAAAAAATCATATTCAGAACCAGACAATTGAGTTTTTTTTTTCTTAAACCTTAAACTCATTATAGTTGTAGGAAATCACATTCTCCAATAACATAATGAATTTTGGTTAACAAATTTTTTCGAGTTAAACTAGGGCATAAAAATGATGTAACTTTATGTAATAAAGAGATCTAAAATAGAGCTGCCAACAGACTAATTTTCCCCCGCCTGGTCTGGCCTGCAGGACAAATCAGACCGATTGGTGTTTTGGGAAGGGGAAGAAAGCGACTTGTGTTTTTGTCATTTAAAATGATTTAACATGATTTATAAATCATTCTAAATCATCAAAACTCATTTTTTTTATATGATTTAACGTGATTTAAAATGGTTTAATTTTGATTTTTCAGATGATTTAAATTAGTTTCTTCCCCCTAGTGTTTTGGGCTTTGTGAATCCACTAAGCTCTGTAATCTTATAATATGGTATCATTCTAATTTCGCTTCCAAAAAGCAATGGGCATGGCTGTTTTTCGAATAATTGAAGAACAAGGAGAGACAAAGACCTGTGATTTTCATCATTCGAAAAAGAACATTCCGGAGCATGAATGTATGTCAAAATGTCATTGGTCAATAATCAACCAATCAGGTGAGTTCTTAGTAGAGATTAGGAGTGGCACATTACTGTTATTAGTAATAAGTAATAATGAATGGTGTTATTATGTATTATTGGTAATAAGTAATAATTTTGATAAGTAATAAAAGTAATAAAAAAATACTGATAATAAAGTAGTAAAGTAATAATTGTTATTACTAATTACCAGTGACAAGTAATAACCATAAAAAAAGTAATAAAGTAATAAGGTGGTAATAAAGTAGTGGTCAAAATGAGTGAGCTCCAAACTGCGTAAACCTCAAGTTTGGAGGCTACTTACACACATATATTTTACCATCATTTGGAGTCCATGTTTTGTCTCAAGGTCTATTCTATGGGAGTATCCACAGGTCCTCAAGGACTATCCTACAGGGATACTCAGAGATTCTCAAGTCCTATCCTGTAGGCATACCCATATATCCTCAAGGGCTAGCCAATAGAGATGTCCCTAAGTCATCCAATTATCCCAGGCGGTACCCATAGATTTCTAAGGCTTATCCGATATTGATATTCATAAGTTCTCAAGGGCTACAAAGCAAAGGGTCAATAAGTTCACAACGGCTATCGTATGGTGGTACCCAAAAGTAGGTGTGTGACAGCTCCAGTAGAGTTCACTAAGCTGTAGCTAGTCAGCTAGCTGTCTTTCGTATGAGCTGGAGATGTATATCGGCTCTTACACTCAACTCTCGTGAGGTGTGGAGCTAGAACTGTTAGAAATATAATACTGAATAGATCTTTTCGCTGAAAAGGAACTAAAAGTATACCCAAATTTGGAAACGAAATTCATTTGGGATAATACTACATGTGAAGTAAAACCACCCCTTGTAGAAGTCGATTACGTCAAGGTAAGAAAACAGTCCGCTCTTACTTTCGAAAGGAACACTAAAGTGCACGCTACGTATATTACGGCCTTACTCACTATTTTCCCCAAGGAGGAACAAACGGATTTCGTGATTTCAAATGATTTCATGTTAAGGGGAAGGAAGCAGATTTCAAGGTTTTCAGATTTCAAAAGATTCCGAAAGCTTTGAAAAGGTTTTAGAGATTATATATGCCAAGATCTTTGTTTCTATTTGATTAGAATTAATCTGTTTTCGTTTGTTTTCAGTAGGGCGGTCCAGTTCAGCCTGGAAAACTCATGAGTGCGAACTCCACTTGCAAACTGTTTCTCAGCTATTGTAAGGACAAAACATACGGTTATTCGGGTCATATGAAAGAGGATCCCGGATAATCCCAATGTTAGTCCGAACCACCCCATGTTTTGTTCTTATAATAGTGGAAAAACGTACTTTAATCTAATTGGTTGATAATTGATCAATCAGATTCGAGCAAGCTATTTTTTTTGCTGTTGTAAGGGCAAAACATAAGCTTGTTGAAGCCGTATGAAAGAGGATTCCAGATAACCCTAAGATCGACCCCAACAACCCTATATTTGTCCTCACAATGGGTGAGAAACAGCTTCGTCGAATCTGATTGGTCGATTATTAACCAATCAGATTACAGTGCGTTTTTATCACTATTATTAGGACAAAACATGGAATTGTTTGGACCAATATTAGGGTCACCCGGGATCCTCTTTCCTATGACCCGAATAATTATATCTTTTGTCCTTACAGTGACAAAGAAATCGCTTCCTCGAATCTGATCGCTCGATGCTGGACTGTACAGCTCAGACTGATGAGCGCTCATACAGTTGACCTGTGCAGCTCTAATTGTAAGACGCCTTGTTTTAAGATTTCAGAATATTCTGAAAGACTTTATAAGATTTCAGAGATTTTGCACTTGAAAAGCTACTTTTTCTTCCTTACTTCATCTGATTTCGAATGATTTTCTTGATTTCTGATGACTTTCTTGATTTTATTGATTCCAGTGATCGAATTTCGTCTGCTTCCTTTGACTATTTCCCACTACATTCTACACTACTTAATGCATTACATGAGAATGATGCTCTTATCAAGGTTTTTAGATCTATGCTTAAACGCCCTAGAAAACCGATGACGACTGGCGCTAGATATCGCTTGAAAAATTAGCGGTACACGACACGCCTCAGATGGATAGCCATTCAAGAGTAACCAGAACTGCACCAAGACAGTCCTTGAAAAGTTAAGGGTGCCAAATTTCGCTAGCACTTGAGTACTTCTAGATACCCCTATACGATAGGACCTGAGGAGCTATGTTACCCTCATAGGATAACTTCTTGAGGATCTGTGAATGCCTCCATAGAATAGTCCTTGAGGACCTATAGGTACCTCACAGGATAGGCCTTGAGATAAAACATGGACTTCAAATGATGGTAAAATATGGATGCGTGAGTAAACTGCAAATTTGGAGTTTATGTGTGAAGCTCACTTTTTTTTGACCGTTATATTACATTTATTGTTTTATTATTACTTTATAACAGTAATAATTATTACTCGTTATTACCTATTACTTTATTACTAATTAATTTTATTACTTTTAAAGTTTTATTACTTTATTATTGATAAAAAAGTAATAAAATTTTGAAAATAATAAAAGTAATTAGTAATAACAAAACACGAAACTAACTCATCTTCTGCTAATATGAAAGAATAAAAGCTCTAGTAACATTAAAATAATAAAAACAAACCAAATTACTATATAAAGTAATAAGTAATAAATGTAATAATAATTATTACCAATTACCAAGTTATAGTAATAAAAAGCAATAGTAATGTGCCATCCCTAGTCGAGATATTAGAAACGATATTCTGAAAAAGTTTTCCATTAAACTTTGACTTTTGAATTGATCATTCACTAGAGAAAATTGTTCTCTTTCAGTCTGCGCAGGACCAATCTTGCTAGCCTGTTCCGCTCAGGAATTATAAAGGTTTTTTTAGAAACCTCTCATTTCAGCTAATTAAGACAAGATTACCCAGAAACAGCTCAGAGCAGGAACGATTCACCATGCTGAGTTGAGTGATAATATTTGCTTTTAGTTTCAGATCAATCTCAAACCACCATATGAAGACTCTCTAAATATGGACTCTATCCTATAGAGCAGTAAGATGTGGAATTTCGAAAATCTTCATACAGTGATTTGAGATCGGTTTGAAACTAAAAGCAAATATCATCACTCAACTCAGCATAGTGAATCACTCCTGTCCTGAATTGTTTCAGGGTGATCCCATGTCAAGTAGCTGAAATTGAGGGTTTCTGAAAAACCTTTATAACTCCTGAGTCGAATAAGCTAACAAGATTAGTCTTGTGCAGATTGAAAGAGAGCAATTTTCTCTGGTAAATGATCAAATCAAAAGTCAAAGTTCAATAGAAAAGTTTTTCAGTATATCTTTTTTAAAATCTGCACTAAGAATCCACTCAATTGGTCGATTACTGACCAATGACATTTTGACATACATTCATGTCCCAGAATGTTCTTTTTTGAATGATGAAAACCGCAAGTCTCTATCTCTTGTTATTCGAAAAACAGCCACATTCATCACTTTTTTGACAACGACAATAGTTTCAGTTGTATACTTACTGTATTTTCATGAAGATAGCATAATGGCAAGTGCTTGTACGAAACAATGAATTAAAATAAAGAGATAAGTCATCAATAATATTTTTTATACAAGGAACACTAGATTTATCGAGATGATTTTGAATACATCAACACTGTTTCACATAATCGGAAAAAAGATGATTATGATAGAAAAACAATATCTGTTCAGGCATACAATGAAGAAATAAACGGACGTTATAGATCATCAGAAATCAAATTTATTCTGTTTTACTTTTACGCTTATACACTTTTTACAACTGTAAGAATATTTTGCTCGTTTTAGTCCTTTTGGGTATAGGTGAAGAAAAAACGCCCATTCAGACACACACACACCTAACCCACACCAAAAAGAACTAAAGGGTAAAGTTCGGCGGCTTCAATAAAATCGGGACCGAGAACTGAACTGGAACCGTGGGAAAAATCGCTTTGAAACCTTCAAATCATCTGATAGATACAAAAACTCTTAAATCTATGCCGAGAAATCTTCATTTTTAATCCTTGAGATTAAAGATTTCAGTATATATGCCTTAGATTGTTTTGCTTAAGTATTGACATATACAGCGTCTTTAATCTTAACAATTCAATAGTGAAAATTTATCAAAATAGATTTAAAATTTTCGTATCTATCTGATGATGTAATGGTTGCGGTTCGATTCTTGGCTCCGATTTTTTTGAAATCGTCAAACTCTATTGAAGGGACTAAAAGAACTAAAGAGGCTATAAGCATTAAAGGCAATTAAGGAGACTAAAAAGCCTAAATTAGCTAAAAGAACTACAAGTGCCGAAAGAACTAATGGAATTAAAGGGCCTAAGAGGAACTGAAGAGACTGAATGAACTAAAAGGGCTAAAGAAACTGCAAGCGCAAAAAGAACTAATGGGG